CCCCAAAACCCCAAAACCCCAAAACCCCAAAAATATTATAGATTTTTGAAATGGGTGCATCTGAAACTAAATCAAAATTCGAGCATGGAAATATAATTCTACAGACAGCTAAAAGCTATTATGTTCCTGGCGAAGAAGTGCAAGGGAACATTTATCTCTCCCTCGATCAGTCCTTCCCAGGTACTCTGCTTGAGCTCTTAGCCAAAGGGAAAGAAGAAGTTAAGTTTGAAGATGAGAGAAGTTGTTGAGGTAATAATTATTACACCAAAGATTTTTCTGAAAAACGTAAGATTTTCAAGTTCAGAGAAACGATCCACAACTTTGAGGGAGATTCTATCCCGACTGGACAGTACTGTTTTCCTTTTAAGTTGCTTTTGCCTGAAGGTATCCCCTCTAGTTGTCTTTATCAGATAGATGATTTTTCTCAAACTCAGGGAAAAGTAAAATATAAAATATCAGCAATTTTAACTTGAAATGAAGATGAAATGAAGGATATGACATTTAAGCAAACTCTTGTAGTAAGACAACAACCAGAAATTGTTGGAACCAACTCTAAAGCTACTTGTGATGCAGAAGTCAATACTTGTTGCTGCTTTTGCTCCCAAGGATACGCTCGAATGAAGGCTGAGACAGAAAGAACTGATTATCGTCCAGACCAAACTGTAAAAATAGTGACTCACATTAAGAACAAATGTAAGAGGGATATTAAAAAGGTCAAAGTTCAGCTTATTCAGAGAATTGAGATGAATGCTCTTGAAAAATAACAGACATGTATTTGACTATATGGAAGCATTTGAGAGAGATCCATTTGGAACTGATGGACAAAGAAGAGTTTATATTTTATATAAATAAAGTGTTACTTAGTAAGGAATATGAGGGAATACTAAAGGGAGAAGAATCTAATGCAGGCCAACAACATTTGCTACTCCCTTTAAGTGAGTATGAACAGGAGATTAATCCTGAAGAGGAGAAAGAGGAAATGTATGATGAAGATGACCTTATTATGAGGAAGGGAATCCAGCCTACTTCAATTGGGAAATTGATGTCGATTAATTATGAATTAAAGATCATACCAGATTATGGAATAAAATGTGGATGTTGTTTGCCAGAAATAAGTATAGATTTATTCATATCTCCTCCTCAACTACCAAGCTATCAAGTCTTAGAAGGACCTGTTGATTGGGAGCCTGAAGTATTCGAGACTAAAACATTTTGTGACCCAATTCCTCTCTACGAAGAAGAGCAAGAAAGTTCATAAAATCCCCAAAAATCTTATCTAACAAATCTAAAAGCCAATAAGTACACTTAAATTCTCAATTTGAACCCAAATTCTCGGGGTTTTGGGGTTTTGGGGTTTTGGGGTTTTGGGG